GAGCAGGAGGCCGAGGCAGGAGGTTCCAGTTCCACCGGAACCTCGGGTGTCTACCAACGAGGTCCGGCGAGCCTACCTGAGCGGCCGATACCTGATGCTCTACGCCCGGTCATTCGACCCGTTGGGCAAAAGTACGTAACTTTTACATTTTTTTCGCTCCTACATATGATAGAATCACAATGGAAACTAACAGTTTTTTCTTAATCACTTACGCAGGTCTTGGAAGGTCGTGGTCCCAGGTGCTCACAAAAGGTTGCCCAATGGCATCCTGGGTCTTCTCTGCAGGGAACACTTCCCAGGCTTGGTTCGCTACGCCGAAGCTCTAGAGCCGGCCTACATGTACGAGCACTACGTCGCCGCCCCGATCGCGGAGGATTTAGACGGGCCGCACGCATCTGGCGCGTGGCGGAGCGGGTTATGTGCGAGTTTTGGGTAAGTCTTCCTCCCACTACTTTGCTCAATACATTGCATTCGCCAGAGTTTCTTGAACCAATGTATTGATACATCTTTTCTATATGCAGGACTTCTTCAAATGCGCCGAGGACTACGAGGCGAGGGCGGCCAAGGCGTTGGCCAAATCTTTTAGAGGTCGCATCTCAGACATGCATTACGAGGCGTGGCTCCAGGCCATCATCGATTACTGTGCCGTCTATGAGCATCGGAAGGTAAAGAAAGAAGATGCAAGATTAATGCATCTGACCAAAGAGCGATACACTAAGGTAAATATACAACATCAATATTGATTTCTTCCGAGATTGAGTAGGCTTGAATTGTTCTTATATCTCGCAATGTACTTGATGTCGTGCAGTGCCTCCCCGGTACAAATGCGCCAATAAAACGCGGGCTGGCGAGATGATGGTCGACAATGGGTGAGTGGCAATTGGGCGGATAACCACACCGTCCTCCGGGAACGGCGTTTGCTGATGCCAGGTGTATCACACCACCAGGGCAACCTTAACATCCACGAATTCGGGGCTAGATGGGTACGTGACTTGGTGTAGCTTCATTTATTCTTTCAGACATTTATTCCTGCATGATTTATAATGGTCTTGTTTTTCTCGCAGTCGGCTGCACATCAAAACCAGCCATGTGGAGAGCTCAAGTCATGGGTTCTGGCCCACAAGGGCAAGGCGACAGACAACATCGACTGGAACCCGGACGACCCAAATGAGTCGTTCACTAACGAGCATCCCGAGCGCATCGGTCAATTACACCGAGGCGGCAAGGGGAGTCCATGGGGTGAGATCGGGATCCGCACACCGCGGACATTGACGGCGACATCGTCATGAGGGTGGGAGGAGGCAAGAAGCATGGGCGGTACCTCATCGGCAACAAAGACGCTCGACCGACCACACCACTCCCACTCTCTCACGTGTCCCATCCAAGCAAAGATGAGCGGTAGCGCGCCCATACGCCCAAGGCGGGACACTTGACGCATCGTGTGGCAAAGACTACAGAGTTATTTCTGTTTTATTAAATGCTCATTGGTTTTACATTCCTCGAAATTGCTTGTAACAATGCGGTGAAAAATTATAGGCCCAGTGCATGCGCTCGAGGAGCATAAGGCTAGGGTGGAGGAAGAGCGACAGAGGAGGCGGGGGCCGAGCGACAGAGGTGGGAGGCCGAGCGGGCGAGGTTTGACGCCTTGGCTCAAGATGTGGCAAGTCTTGGCGTCACGATGGTGCGTCCAGCGCCACTAGAGTTGTTCGCTCCTCCACCGCCTTACCCATACCCGCCTTACTCATACGTGAGTTCAACTTCTCTAACAAAAGCTCTTTCTCGTGCATGTCGGCCATCGTGCTTGATATGTGATGGGAGGCCTTCGTGCCGTTGATATATATATGTGCCGCCATCGTGCCGTTGATATGTGGTGGGCGGCGGTGCGTTGGTTTTCTTGCGGTGTTTTGGAAACCCCACCGTGCAGGGGGAGGTGCTTTGCCAAAATTTTGATGTGTCTAGGCTTAGATTACAATTTTATACCTAGTTCGCAAATTTTGACTTGTATACGCTTAGATTACAATTATATGCCTTAGTATTACTATAATTACTAATTTTTCTTCTCCTTTGTGCGAGAATCAATCGCGGGTTCGAATGATGTGCTGAGCAACCCGCCGTCGGGAGGGTCGTGGCACCAACCAGATCCACAACTTCCGCCGATCATCGGACCGTCGGGAGGGTCGGGTACCACCAGCATCAAGACCGATCACCACCGTCGAAGTACCGGCCACCCATGATCAAGAAATTGCCGTCGTCGGTACCAACCACTTGTGCAAGCAAGTACCGTCCGGGAGGGTCGGGGGGGTGGGAGCCTTGGGGGTGAGCCTGTTGTTCTTCATCATGTATTAGCACTTTGTGACATGAACTTGTGTGAGATGAACTTAGCACTTTGAGATGGACATGTGTTTAGATGGATGACATATTTGTGATATATGTGATGTGGATGACATATTTGTGATATATGTGATGTGGATGATGTGTTATATTTGTGAAATATGTGTTGTTGAAGCTGGAAATATAAACAAAAATAAAAAAATGCTCTCTGGACTCTTTGCCGAGAGTAGGGCTCTCTGGGCTCTCGGCAAATCTTCCTCTTTGCCGAGAGCCTAGCTCTCGGCACATCTTCCTCTTTGTCGAGAGCTTGGTTCTCGGCTCTCGGCAAACCTATTTTTTTTTGAAAACCGCCTCCGCAAATATTTGTTTTTTTTTAACAATTCTTTGCCGAGGTCGCTCTCGGCAAAGAAGTTCTTTGCCGATGGTAGCTCTCGGCAAAGAAGTTCTTTGCCGACGGTCGCTCTCGGCAAAGAAGCTGTCACACCGTTAGCGTTCGTTTGGCCGTTACTAGGGCAACCCAGTTTGCCGAGAGCTATAGTTAGTCGAGAGCCTTGACATTACTCTCGGTAAATATTTTGCCGAGAGGGGCTCTCGGTAAAGAATCCTTTGCCGGTAGATGTTTTGCCGACGGCTCTTTGCCGAGAGCTGCTCTCGGCAAATAGGTTGCCGAGCGTGAACTCGTCTTTGCCGAGGCTGGGAGTCCGGTAGTGATCAACAGCTGCTGTTTTCAAGCTTGCCGCTGTGCATTGGGGGTTCATCTTCATGTTGGCAAGCCATATATATCTCTTGAATGACGATTTTCCATAGTTTGTTTAGCCCCTGAACAATGTGAAATGTTAATGGTCAATGTGTAATCCAAAGCCATGGGAGAACCCCTTTTTTCTCTCAAATTTTGGATGCAAATACATTTTATTGATATTCCTACGTGTTCCTTGTTGGAATGTCAACCTCTGCATGTATGTCCAGACTGCTTGATTTTTTCGCTGCATGTATGTCCAGATTGGTTTCTCTACTGTGTAACTTGTTAAATACCAACTATCTTTCACTATCATACAATTCAATAATTTGCAGAAATCTCGTAAATAGATTATGTAACTACATGGTAGAAATATATTTTAGTAAATCAATTTAAAAGTTTCTCGTTAATCATACTACAAGGGTTAGAAAGGCATAGATTCTAGTAAATATTTTTCAAAAATCTAGTAAATAGAATATCGTAACTATCAGGGGCAGAAAGGCATAGCTTCTAGTAACCAATTTGCAAATCTAGTAAACATATTATGGTAACTAATCTAAGGAGGCATCATATATTCTAGTAAATCATTTAAAAATAACAAGATTATGGTATTGTGAATCAGACAGAATATCGTAACTACTCAATCATAGTTACTACAATGATCCTTTCCAGTTCTATCCAATATTTCATGGTAAAATTAATCTCATATTTCATGATAAATTCCCGTCGTACAAATTCCTATCCTAATTATCATCTCGAGACATTCAAAACACAGTAACTATTTTTATTGTAAAATGATCTAGATGTTATAGTAACCAGTTAACAGAAACCATTTGACGTCAATTTGTGGTCAATTTCCGTGCTAATTATCGTAACAAGATCATTTGCATTCGCCTAGAACATTTTGCGTGCTAATTATAGTAACTAGAATATATTTTCTACTTTTTTTGTGGACAAGGTGGCCCGGTTCGGATGGTGCAAAAATCGTACTGTTCATGGTTGAAAGTTACTGTTTACGACTGATTTCCTCTCATAAATTTCTTCAGATTCATCCAGATTCCTCCAAGCGAACGGGGCCATATTAGAGTAGTATTATCGTAACAAGAACATTTGCGCCTGCACAAATTAAGCGTGCTAATTATAGTAACTTGCAAGGTTCAAAAAAAATTATAGTAACCTGCATGCAGCGTGCTAATTATAGTAACTTGCATGCATGAAGCGCTCTACCAGTAATCATGGCCTGTAATTTGCATGCATGCCGCAAGGTTGAATTACCGAAATCCCAAGAGTCCACTAAATATTCCTCCTAAAAAGTCTATGTTTGTCAACTCCTAAAAAAATTTAGGAGAAAAAAAAAGTTTATCTCCAATAGTTCCTAATATTTGACTTCTAAAAAATCAAATGTTGATCCCATTTGACGTTTTTTTTTCTGCAGTCTTCTTTTTTTCCACGCGAACCTCTTCGTCGCCGCGCGTATCCACACCGTCGCCGCCTGCATCCGTCGTGTTGCCCTAGCCCAGTAGTCGACAACCAGGCAAGCAGGCAACAGCTGCCGGCCACCATGCAAGCAAACAGAGCATGCATACAGTACCATGCAAGCAAGCAGGCGGGTAGCAAGCAGGCAAGCAGCGGCCTGCACGCAAGCAAGCAGGCGCTCGTCGTCGCCTCGGTAGCACTTCTGCTTCGTCCGGGGCTGCGACGGCTCCATCGTCATCAACTCCACGCCGGGAAACAAGACCGAGAAGGATCAACCCACTACACTACTGCCACAGTGCACCACCACCACCTGCTTCTTCCAGCACACGCCGACGCTTCATTCTCCCGTCCTCTCCTCTCCTCTCATCAACCTCTGACCTCCCCGACCCCTGAGGCCGTTCATTCGGTGCGTGCCTGTGGGCAGCAGCGCCGGCGGCTGGAACTAGTCGGCGCAAAGATGGCCGTGCGCTTGCCGCTCGCGCTGGCGGCTATGGCGGCGGCCCTGCTGCTTCTCCTGTGCTGCGGCGGCGGCGCCGAGGCCCGCGTCCTCCTCACGCTCGACGACTTCGGCGCTGTCGGCGACGGCATTGCCAACGACACCCAGGCTCTCTTGGACGCGTGGACCGCCGCGTGCACCTCCCTCGAGGAGGCCGTCCTCGCCGTGCCGGTCGGCAAGGCCTACCGGATCTGGCCCATGCAGCTCTCCGGGCCCTGCAAGAAGAAGCTCAAGCTGCTGGTACATCACGTGCCCTGCCCCGTCCTGTCGATCGATTCCGGCGTTGCGCGTCGTCCAGGGCCAGAAGTTGGGAAAGGCGCGGAAGGACTCCGTGGGAACGGCGTCTCTGCACGTGGCTTCGTCCGCGTAAAGTTACGCGGAAGGGGGAGGAATTTTCTAAGTCCTAAAAGATTATGAGTAAATATTATGAGTTGTTGGAGAGGGTTTTTTTCCCATCTTTCTAAAAAAACAAAGATTAGGAGGATGTTTAGGGAACTCTTGGAGTGTCGCTCGGATTAATGCGCGTCGGACCAGGAGGCAGAAGCGCACCAGCCATGCAAGCGCCTGGACCCGAATCATGGGATGGTGCGTCTGTTCGACCTGGCTACAAAATAAACTAACAGAATATACTCTCCATATATATATATATATATACACACATGGATGACTAGATAGACGACCAGGGTTGATTAATCGTCTGGTCGACGACTAATCGTGATTAGTCTTCTGATCGGTCCCATGACGACTAGGTTCGACCAGACGACCAGAAAACATTGATCGACCCTACTTGCTGAATGAAGCTAACAAAACAAGGATATTAGAAGTATCTAAATGAAAAATTATTCTTTGCACAAGATGAAAACAAGCTTTATTTTGTCCAATAACTAAATGAAAAGAAACGTTGTTGTCCAATATAAGATCAACTCAATGAATCTATAAATCACGATTACCTGTTTTCTTGACAAAATTACTGATAGCGAAAAATGTCGCTTCCACTATCACAGAATTTGTTAAAGATAAGCAGAGGAGTATAGGTAAAAGGACCTTCAGGGTAATATAATGACATCATGTGGAATGTTTGGAAAGAACGAAGCCACCAGATCTTCCAAAGTGAAAGCCTCTCGTCAGTTCAGATGATGTTGCAGCACAGGCTAAAGAAGACATCAACCAAAGGAGACATAATTTTATTCAGAAACAGCCTATTTGCTTCTCTAGAACCACTTTTTTTTCTAGTGTGGTGTGCATTACTTTTGAGCAATTGAGTTGTAATTGTCATGTTGTGGTTGGCCTTTGAGCATATTTCGACTCACGCGGCCAGAACTCTATTTTGTCCATTTCTCTCAAAAAAAAATATATTCATCCAATTGGAAGTTGGGGAAAAAAAACAGCAGGCAGCAGCTTCTAAGAACTAAACCTTGTCTGAAACACCAATCAATCAACACATTACCTCAATTCTTACTTGTAAACTACCTAGCTCTATAGCATCTAGCAATCTATCATCTTATACAGACTACAGAAACATGTTTCATACCTCAATTATAAGTGCTAAACTACTTCCTTACTGATTCTCCCCAATTGACATAGCAACCCAAATAAGATCACAATACCAAACAAAACAACACTGTGGTTCTTTCCTCACAGAATTAGCAAAAGGCAAAGCACCGTGGTCACGGATACTCAGCTAACAAAAGTGCGATAACAACACTAAGCATCATACGGAAAGTACTAGTAACAAAATTCAAGCCAGTTTCACCATGATCACGAGACAGGAAATGAAGTATTATTATTGATGCTTCATGTCAAGACAACACGATACATGTAACAAAAAAAAAAGATAATATCTATTTCCCCTCTGGAGAGCAACATCCCGGCCGGGAACCCTAACCGGTTCTTTCCTCCGCAATCAGTCAGGGCTTCGCGGCGGCGGCGGGGGTTGCAGGAGCGGGCTCGGCCGCCGCGGCAGCAGCCAACGCCGATTCGGCGGCGGCGACGGCCATGGCGGTGGGGAGATCGCCGGAGTCGGGGTCGGGGTCAGGGAAAAGTGCCGGCTGCCGGGGGCTCACTGGCCTGGGCTGCGTTCACCGGTTCTGTTTCTCTGGGCTCTGGGCTGCGTGGTCAAGGGGACGACGGAAATGCTCTGGTACATGCGGGCTTTAGACTCCTGATGGACTGAGGCGGGCTGTGAAGTCGAGCGAAAAAGGCCTTTACGGGCCTTAAAAGAACATCTAATCATGGACCTGTTACACTTTGAATAAACCCAAATAATCATTTCAAGATATTCATGGCAATATCCACTAAAAAAAAAGGATATTCATAGCAATATGGAGAAAGTTGCCTTTAAACACAGCTCATGATTCCTCACTGAAACAGCTGAACTATCACAGACACAGAGTACTGATTAGCGCATGCAAATCTTTGTACTATATCCAGCATGACACTAGACACTAGTCACCCACTCACCAGTCGTTCCAGAAGTAGCTAGTAGCACCCAAGGGCACGGTACAGGCCCCACACGCACACCTAATCTTGCCCTCTTGGTAGACCAACGTTTTATTAATTATACTTACGAGTCTTCAGCAGATCAAATGTCTGACCTCTAGTTTGGACCCTACGCATCTTTTGCACATAAACGAAGGCGATTCAGCTACCTTACCATGCACACCTGTTGTGTCTAGGATCTCGGTCTCCCACGGCTTCCGTGACCCAGTTCTCCTCCTGCGACGACGTGGGCGATAATAACAATTGAAGCAAAACTCTGTCAGACTTTTCAATGCGATAATAACAATAGCTTATTATTGCTAGCGTCACACTCTTGATGAATCTGTGGATAATTTGAAATGACAGGGCAGTAATAAGGCTGTGGTTGGTTTGCCAGAATTGTTCAACGACCAAGTGTCCCATTTCTGTGGATGAAAATCTCGTCATAGTGTCATGTTTATAGCTGGCATTGATGCAAAACATGAGTAGAAAATCAAGGAATTTTGGTGCACCTATAACAGTTGCCATGAAACTGAAACGTTCAACAGCAGCATGTAGCATGTTTTGTTTTCATTTTAGGTTTCTTTTTCTCGTATGTTTTTAATCGTACAGTATGTGTTGTCATCATGAATGAATGAATTATATGATTTGTGAGACTTCCTGAAAAAAAGGAAGTACGCCACGTAGTCGCAAAAGCCAATTTGTTAACACTTTTGCAATTAACACAATGGAAATAACAACCCCTATGGGCTATATCAGTCTCTTTCAAACTGCATACAGATAATTGTGACCGATTGAAGAACACACGTACTTTCCGGATCCGTTATGAACTGTCCGTCTGCCACATAGTCGCATCCGTGTATCTTGTGGTCTTAATCTTCTGGTTGTACGTCCAATCATCTGCACAATCGTTTTCTTGTGCGTTGCATGGGCCTGTTGCAAGGCAGCAAATTAAATCCATCCATCATGGACATGGAGCACTCAGTTGCTCGCCGGCAGGACAGACTTCTCAGCTCACAATTAACATACTGTACTAGATGCACCACGCATGTCGTGTCAGTTTTGTCGCCGCAGCCGATCTACTTCCTCACAGCACTCAAACCTCCTGAAGACATCCTCGAGGAACCCAACGTCAAACAATGTTGTTTCCTATGGATGGGCGGCACACGCTTATCAGGAGGGAAATGCAAAGCGACTTAGAGACGGTACGGTACATCGGCCAACAAAATACAAAATTTGGTGACTTGGGTGTGCTAGATATATTTATAAATTTTCACGGGCCTTGAGACTCCGTTTGCTATATGACAATCATGAAGGTCTGAAAACAAACCTTGGTTGTGCGATAGAGATCCCTTGCAATGGCAATCATGAAGGTCTGAAAACAAACCTTGGTTAGGGTGGAGATCCCTTGCAACAGCACTAATAGGAGCAACCAAAATTACGATTGGAAATGGGGGCAAAGGCCATGTTTTGGCACTCCGCGTGGTTGGATGGGATCTATCACTACACCAAAACGGAAAATTCTTGAGGGTTTGAAAACCAAGAAAATGGTCAAAAAAAAGTTTTAAACCTCAGAAGAAATCTCATGCCCACCAAGATTCAAACTCATAACCCTCAACCCTCACGAGTTGCTTCCTTACCACTCTCCGAACTCAAGGTTGGCCTGATCAACAGGGGTGACACCCTCTAAAATGTGGATGAATCCGTCATTCACTTACTTGCACATTACGGCTAAAACTTATGAATTTGCCATGCGTATCTGGACAGGTGGCAACCTCCTATCCACCTCTCAGTGGGGCAACCACCATTCTACTAATCAATCGTGGCGAACAATGGGCAGGACATCGGGGTTGTCGGCAAAGGAAGGACGTCGGGGTTGTCGGCAAAGGAAATGTGCACGCTAACCATTCTAGTTGCCTGAGAGATCTGGAAAGAGAGAAATACAAGATTTTTCGATCGTCGGGACACCACGGTGGCAGCACTTATTGGTAAGATAAAGGAAAAGACAAGACTCACCTCGTCGCTTCGGTCTCCATGCTAACTGCAGAGCGTGTGATGGCCCTCAGTACGGATGCTTTGCCGTAATGGTCCTTTTTCGGCGGATGCTTGGCGTCGTGGTCGTTTCTCGTGCGGATGCTTTGCCGCTGTTGTCGTGCTGGCTCTCTTGGCTTCCTTGGTTGATGTTGGCTATCGCGGCTACACTAAACCTTAGGCTACCAATGTGTTTTTGTCTTCCTGTAATAGGCTCAGTCTGTCAGGGTTTGGTGGTGGAGGCTACCCCCTCGCCCGTGCTTTTTTGATGTATCGTTTGTGCTAGTGGGATTGCGCTGGTAATTCTAGGATTGTCGGCCAGTCCTTTGTAACCAAAAAAAACTCTACTTCTGCTTAATGAAATCCGTACCTGAGGTATGTTCGAAAAAAAAGACTCTAGTGTGTGGCAGGAGCAAAAAAAAAAACTTAGCGATCGATGTCATCTTCGTCAACTGAGGGCATAGCTTTGAGCTTTTGATGTTTGTTTTTATACCTGATTTCACCTTTCTATGGTGCCTTTTAACCCCTCCTAATATCAATATAAGTTCGACATATCTTCTGTCGCCGGCTTAAAAAACTGAATTAAATAACATTGTACTTTTAGACTTTTGGTCCAGCAGTAAATGAATGAATAGATAACACCAATTGGTAGTGTTTTCTTCTCAGTTACAGAACTTTGACACATCAACAAATCTCACAAAAACAGTTGCAACAAAACAAATCCCCAACCTATTACATAGTCCGTATTTGTATTGGATATTAGTAGCACACAAAATGTACATTTCTTTTCACCTTTCATCCTTTTATATACGTTTATCCAACAGTGTTGTCATGTATGGATGCTCCCAAATCACTACGGGAACAGAGCCTTTGCCGAGTGCAAACTGTTTTGCCGAGTGTCAAAAATCGAGCACTCGGCAAAGAATTTCTTTGCCGAGTGCCAGGCTCTCGGCAAAATCTCGGCACTCGGCATAGACTGCCCCGCGTAACGGTGTTCGGTCACGTCCTTCTTTGCCGAGTGCCTTCTGTTAGGCACTCGGCAAAGTTTTTTTTGAAAAATACTTTGCCGAGTGTCTCTGACACGGCGCTCGGCAAAGATTCAATATTTTTTTTCGAAATGTCTTTGCCGAGTGTCTGACAGTTTCGGCACTCGACAAAGGGAGGAATTAAAAAATTACTTTTTTTGAATTACTTTTACCGAGTGCCATGCCCCGACGCTCGGCAAAGTTTTTTTTTGTTTTAGGCCTCCAAATTTTTTGTACAGCCCTTCTAAAGTACCGGGAACTCATCGTTAGAATTTGGGGATTTTTTGTGGCTTTTTGATATATTTAGTTATTTTATTTTGTTTACTTGAATTTTTTTGAAAAATATAAATTTGAACTGCACATGGTACGAATAATGGAATTTAATGATTCAAAAATTGATAGTCATGTTAGTGAGTGTAGTGTGAGGCCGTATCCAGGAACGGACCTGAAATTTCGGACATCTTGTTCACGAAACATGACCGCGAACTTGCGTGCGAAGTGTTTTTAAATTCTATAAAAACCAAACGAAGTCCGAAAATCATGAAACTTGTTGAGATGTCATGATATCGTATCTGGAGGCAATGATAAAAATTTCAGAAGATTTCGTGCACGTTGTCATGTACGATGCTTATAAACCAGGACATCTCTACATGTGGCCACATGTAGAGATGTCCTGGTTTGTAAGCATCGTACGTGACAACGTGCACGAAATCTTCTAAAATTTTTATCATAGCCTCCACCCCCGAGCCCCAGTGTCTCCTCCCCTCCCGTGCGCCCGAGCCGAGCCGCCCCGCCCCCTGCCCCGAGTCGCCTGCGTGCTCGACCCTCCCGTCGTCGTGCCTGCGTCACCGCTGCCACCACCACCAGCCATGCACGCCGCCCGCCGCCTGCCAGCCACAGCGTGTGTCCCACGTGGCCAGCTCACCCACCTTGCCCCCGCCAACACCGAGGAGCCCCCCCTTGACTGCCGCGCCTGTGGACCGCCCTGCCCGACGCCGCCTGTGCAGACCCGTTCCTAACTCCGACGACCCCGACCCCGACGCCGTCCGCCCCTACCCCCGGTGCCCGTCAGGTATGCCCTCTCTCTTGTTGTTGTCGTGGTAGTGATAGTTGTAGTAGTAGTGATAGTAGTAGTAGAACTAGTGGTAGTAGTAGTAGCAATAGTGGTAGTAGTAGTAGAACTAATGGTAGTAATAGTAGCAATAGTGGAAGTAGTAGTAGAAGTAGTGGTACTACTTGGATATATTTTTCTGCATGGATTGATATCCAAACTACATGGCTTCTCTTGAGACATATGTGCTTGTCGGCTATCGTACCGTTGTTTTTTGCAGGTTTTGAAAACCTCACCATACAGGGCAGGTTCTGCCAATTTTTTTAAATGATAGTATTTTGTTTCATTTTTGTAGAGAAGAGTCCGTCGGAGCCGAGTCGGAGTTCCCATAGCCGTGCTGGTCTGCCTGCACCGCGTCGCCTCGCCACTGCACCGATCCACCACGGCCCCGCTAGCCTGACTCTGCCGCCACCCTAGGTATAACCCATCTTTTCGTATCATGGTCGTAGATCGTGTAACCCAGTTAGGCATCTCCCGTTCGAAAGAGATACGGTTGAAGGTATGCAGATCTTTACATATC